TTACCTTTAATTGATTATGGAGTTTCAACAAGTAAAGTCTTCTACCATTAATCAATATTATAATAAAATTTAAAATTATTGAGTTTTAAATAAGGATCGAAAAAAAGAATTACTGTAGATGTTCTGCCCTTTATTTATTATCAATAATTCGAGTTATACTTCTTTGCGAAACATTACATTTGCATTATTTATAGCCGTGTTTGTGTGTAGGGATAATAAATTGATTAGCAAGACTGGGTAAATTCCAATAGTAATTTTGTTTAATTTAGGTCATATTTTACCTGAATAAAAATTTATTACCGTTCGGTGAAAAACAACGTACGTAATAATCAAGCTAAAAGGGAGGAATAATATATTCCATCACGCCAACCTTTAATCCAAATAAGCAACAGGAAACATACAATTTCACTATTACTTCAAACATGCAATATAAAAAATATCGTTGAAAACGAAAGCGACAATTTTTTCGTGACCGATACCTAAAGAACCCCAGGAGATATTGATATCTGCCTTTAATTACGATTATTGCAAGCGTATCAATTGTTATTCCACCTGTTGTTTAAATATAAAACAGTTGCAAAAAGACTTACCAGTGATGACCAAACGACCTTTGGTGGCACTAAGTCTTGTTTCACCAGTAAGCCTATGTTTCGTACGACACTGGTATGATTTGTATCCATCTTCGGGTCCAACATCTCTGATATGAAGTTCACCAGACGGTAAAACCAAGTATTTGCTGTCTGTTACAAGATAAATTTGTTTTAGAATCGGCAAATGTTTAAAAAAATTTCCTAGTGCTAGTGAGCATGCAATTTTTACCATGCAACAATTTATTGTAATTTACTTGATTTTTAATTATTGTTAAAGCATGCACTTAAAGATTTTTTTTTGAAGGATTTACTTATGAATGACCAACAGTAAGTCAAATTAAAATCAGGCAGAGAATAACGGTCATAAAAAAAGAGAAATAGGTACCAGTGTAATATTATAAAAAAATATCGTTTTTGTATTAATTGTTCTCTGTTTGATTTTATTTAACTTGATGTGCATAATAATACAGTGTACGGTAAAATAGGGACAAAAATAGGCGTAAGAAGGATTAAGGATGAGGAAATTGGACACCCCAGATGCAATCAGTCAAATTTTCGAAAATTAAACGAACTTCACGGAAAACTATGCACTGCCCTGGTAGTTACTTTCGAAAATCTTAATATTAGACGACTCCTTTTCACTAGTGATGTGGAAAAACCAAGACTGTCTTTATACTGGCTAGACCAAGTCCAGAACGAACAAAACCAAGACCGAATATGCAAGACCAAAACCAAAGACGCAAGACTAAACGAAAAATTATTACTTCCTTGGACTTATGAGTTAAACTATTTGAAGCAACTTCAATGTATTCTTCTCTTGGAACAAAACATTTTGGGTAAATGAAATTTTCGGTTTTCATAATTATAATTTAACACTTAATATAAAAAGAAGAAACTTTATCATGGTTGAAATATTGAAACAAACTGATTTTTTTCAGCTTTGTTTACATGGACGGTGGACGCGGCGGAAAAGAAAAGTGTTCGAAATGTAGCGTTACAGACGAATGATGAGGATACAGTGGATAGAGACGGTTAGAAATGAAGAGGTATTAGAAAGAATAGGAGAACAGAGTACTTTACGGAAATCAATAAGAAATGGGCGAGATAGGTTGGTAGGACACCTTGTCAGGCATGAAGGTCTAGTCAGAGATATATTAGATGCAGAAACAGGAGTTAAGTGGAGTAGATTAGATTACTGTTGGCAAATAGTTAATGATGTAGAATGTTCTAGTTTTAGGGAAATACGAAGTTTAGCTAAGGATAGGAAGGAGTGGAGGTGCGTGTCCAACCAGTCTTAGGGCTGACGACTATAAGTCCTTCAAGTCCTTTGTACTATTTTTTTCGCTAAAAGGTCAATTTATAATAATAAGACCGAAAATTTTAGCATTTAAGACAATTATTGCACCAGTAAATAGCAAAATGTATGCTTAGAAGAATTATTTTAAAAAAACGCAAATATCAGATTAAATGAGCAAGACCAAGACTTAACACGCAAGACGAAGAGCAACACCAAGATTATACCAGCAAAACCAAGAACTCGAGAAACAGTCAAATACAAAACACTAACGAAAAGCTCGTAATCTACAATGAATATTAAGCCCTCTTTGTATCGCTATCTGTAATCATTACGACACAAAGGCATTACGAACGTGGAAGGTGGATCAAAACAAAAAAAAAAAGAAAAACGCACCGTAGTCAGTGTCCTGATGAGAAACAATTTCGCGCTTGTCATCCTGAATCCAAGAGGTGACGTAAACGTAATCGCTGACGAAACTGGGGATGTGACATTTAAAAATTGCCGTATTGCCCTTTAGAACACTTTCGTCCATTACATTTGCATTGTAGACTTGTGTAACGACTGCAAAGAAAAACGGAATCAAACCACAAACATCATTTGTTCACCCCAATCTGAAGGTATAGTAAAATAACATCAGAAAATCAGATCCAATTGTTTTTTGTTAAGAAAATTTTGTATATACAGGGTGATTACTAATTTCAGATTTCTCGTTCGTAAGATAACTCAATAAACTATTTTTTTTGTAAATATACGAAGTGTTTTTATTATTTTCATTTTAATTGAAACACTTCGTGTTAATAAATAGAGATATCGACAAAAATGCAATGTTCTTTTAACATCTATTATAATATATAGGGTTCATTTGTTTATGAACCACCCTGTATATACATGAATCTTAAGTGGAACAAAATAAGTGAACAATTGCTCTAAAGAAACAGGCATTTGAATAAATCTCTATTAATAGAGCAATCTGGAGTATCAGAAAGGTCAGACCCTGGGGCAGATTCATCGTATAACTAACTAGGTGCTTACTGCTGTTGTAGTACATTTAACTTGAATCAACATTAACAATATCAATTCTAAAATTGCTTCCTCTTAGGAAATGTAAACAACATTTACGAGTTGAACCAAAAATACACATCCAGCATACTAATAAGCAAGCTGAAAATGTGATTATTTCTGATGTATTATTTTCGATGTACCATCTACATCATGAGGAAAGCGAATTGAAGAACACATTCCCCAAGAAAAATCTGATTATATTTGAAGGTCTTAGTCCTTGTGAATAGTAAAATCAACAACCAAATAAAAAATTATAAAATAAACTCATTTAAAAGTCCCTAGAACAGTAGAAAGAAGATTTTGAAAACCTCGAAGTGTGCATTAGTTTTTTGAAAGGCAGAATTTACTTTACATCTGGAAGACAATCTTTATTTTTAGACATTTTCTAATTTTAAATGTCAAGGTCTTCTTCAAACAAATTCTACAATTTCTAGTCAAGTATCTGTGCAGATATTACAATTCGCAAAGACTATAAACTTTGTATAAATTAGCATTTTTACGACCATAATAAAATAAAGCAAACGAAACGAAATTTTATATAAATATATAAGTCAATGTTATCAAAAGAGAGATTGCCACTTGGGGATGAAATTCGGGAACACGAAAAGAAAGGATTAATTAAAAAGGGGCGTGTTAATGAAGTGTTTTGCGACTGATAATACCGTAGTCGTCAGTGGGAGGATTGTAATAATTATTGGCCGTATCCTGCCAGGAAATCACATCGACATGATCGGAGACGAATGATGGAATTTGACACTTAAAGACAGCTGTGTTTCCTTTAATAACAAAAACGTCGTAGACCTGCGCTTCGAAATACTGATTAACCACTGTAAGAAAACAAAAAAGGACAACACTAATCATAGTAATAATAACAACAAAAACAACAATAAAAAAATCCCTATACATATATATTAATTTTTTTTATTGTGAAATGGGGCCGGCTCGCAAAGGAAGGATTATTTTATAAAGGATCTTTTTTTAGTGTCAAATTTTTTAAATTTACCGCCGTTAACAGTTTGATTTTCACTGTACACATGAGTGATTCCGTCGTCTGATATCCAGGCTTCAACTTGAATAAAATCCGAAACAAAACTGGGCACCAAACATTTCAAAATTGCTGTATTGCCTCTAAGTACGAATTCGTCAATCACGCGACTTTGATAAAATTGTTGGACGACTGTAATTAAATAAAAACCAACAATAATATACAAAAGAAGTGTTCGGTAGTTTTTTAAAAAATTAGAATAGAGAAACGTTGGTTGTATTCACAATAGGTAACAACTACAAGATGACAAAATCGACACAAGCAATATTGCGCAAAAAAAAATTGCCAGAAACAGTTTTATTATTCTGCAATTGTCTTCGTGGAATAGTTCAATGACCATCGAAATCGCATGAGTCCGTGCCATTAAAAAACCTATTAAACATCACATATAAACGAAGCAACTTAGGGTTCAAGGTGAAATGGAACAAACAGGGTGGTATTCGATTCGATTTTTCTTATACGAGAATTACCAAAATCTTTCCCAGGCAAATACATATTGCCTTTTGAATCTTGCCAATTTTCAACGACTACGAAGTCTGAAACGTAAGATGGAACTTCGCATTTCATGACCGCTGCATTACCACGAATAACGTATTCGTTATCTGCTTCTACCTCGTACGACTGCACCACCACTACCCAAAAAAAATAACCAGGTATTTGTTTGGTTTATTTTACTCATTAGACACATACTAAACAATATTTATATAATAAAATTAAAAAACCTTTTGATTACTTAACGTAATTCACCTAATCAATTGATTTAAAAAGAAAATAGAGAAAAAACACCTTAACTTCTGAGCTATCAAAGTCGCCTATCGAAACATTTGAACTCAAAAAAAACAGAAACAAAAGAAATGTGCATGTAGACTCGCTGAAACTTATTTTGTATTTATATCACGTTCTTTAATTCATTGAAAGACTGATTAGCATCCGATTTCGATATCAGAAAGGCAATATTTATGCAAGCACATAGGATGGGAGATTGAACAAGGGTGCCACTATGTTTTCATGTTAACGCATAACTTAAGGAGTTTATGTAGTGTAATACCGTAATTTTTATCGTCACCATGCTTAAAAGTGTGTCCCTCGTCAGATATCCAGGCATCAACTTGAACGAAATCCGTAACGAAGCTCGGTATTTTGCATTTCATTACGACGGAATTACCTTTTATAACATATTCGTTTTCTGCCTCTGTACTGTAGTACTGTGTAACAACTGAAGAAGAAGAAACAATAAGGAAATGTCTTTGTTTTTTCAAAAAACATTTGAAATTAATTAGCCGTTGTGTAAATGGCATCCGATTCATAAAAATACAATAACGAATAGCCATTTGTTTGTTTTTAAAGTTCTATTGTTTCACGATCAAACAAAAACTATTACGCTAGTGAAGTGAAAACTCTCGGGAAGTAGAATCCGCGATTTCCTTGTCAAACGTCCAAAGTTCGATCAACTTTCTATAACGCTGCTGCCAGTATAGACATAATTACACTGAAATCCGGCTGGCGAAATGATTTCTAAAATTAGCAACTTAATAAATTAATCCGGTGTAGTCGAAACAAAGACTGGACGCTGCATATGGGATTCGTCCTTCAGGATAAGAAAAGTTTGGGCAATACATTGGGTTATTAAGTAAACACCGGGAGGAGGGAGGGTAATCATTACCATAATCATGGGAAATTTTAAGTTCATCCCCAGAATCGTCTATCCAAGCTTCTACAAACACAAAATCCGCCACAAAAGATGGAATACTACATTTTAAAACAGCAGTGTTTCCACGGATCACATATTCCGTCAATATTTCAGCTTTGTAAAACTGGTTTACCACTGAAATTAAAAAAAAAACCTTTCATGAGACATTCGACTGTTTTTCTAAATAATTCAGTTAGACCAAACATAACGTGGAATACTTATAAAACCTAAAAGTATACCACCATATAGAGCTAGTCTATTAAAGGATATGAGATCATCATCAGCCCTATGGGTCTGTCATCAAAAAACGGAAACCTTAATTAAGCCTTTAAAAGAAATAACGAGGTGCCCACATGACAGTCGGGAAGGGTACGGAAAGATTGCACCAGCGTTTTATCACCACATTTTCCCTCTTTTTTTTCTAATAAACGCTAGTGCATTTAAGGGACTAATGATCGACAATAAAATAGTAGCTTTCACGATAAACAATTACCGTAATTGTTGGAATATGTGTAGACTTTTTCGTCGCTTCCTACCCAAGCTTCGACCTTAACAAAGTCGACAACGAAAGAGGGTATATTACACTTGAGCACTGCCGTGTTGCCCCTTATAACGTATTCGGATACCACTTCGGCCTCGTAATATTGGTTGACGACTGGACCGGAAATAGAAAAAAGAGTGACGATGCCTTTGTCTGTGTGAATAATTAATTCACCGTGAAGCGTAACGACCACGGCATAGGTGAAAATTTTAATGGGCATACATAATAAACACTATGTGGGCATCGCAGATGCAACATCACATACATATGTGTATAAAAGAATTTTAATCGCGTCATGGAGGCAGTGCATAGAATAGTACGTATGTGAATATTACTTATTTATTTTATTAATAAATACCGTAGCATCTGGATAGGTGATCAATTTATTGGAGAATCATCCGTGGAAAAAAGAAAAACAAAAGTGATGTTTTTGTTCAAAGGTTGAATAAGAACTACAATTGTTTTTGTAAGTACCCAATAATGATGAGCTTGATCTCGTTTCAGATCAGTAACATAAAAACAAACACTAAATAAAAAAGCAAAAACAAATTCCCAACTTAAAAAAATCAAATACTTATACATACGCGTTAGAAGTTATATTTTTACATATTTATTTAAACAATGTTTTTGATTGCGTATTTAAATAATATAATCCTACAGTGCTGCCCCTAATGGGTGGGTACGAACTCGCCCCATTCAACGAACAGTGGCGACCACCGAGACCAAAGTCGCCAGTTGTGTTTCCCGTTCGATAAATTGAGATAATATAGAAAAAAATTTACCCTCAGTGCCCGAATAAACCACAACTAACTTCATACTGTCGAATTTTCGTTACCAGTGCGCGTGCAACATCCGTTGCATACTAAAAATTTTACTCACAGTGCTCCAAAAGAAATTTAACTTAGAAAAACGTTTTTGCTAAAACGAGCCATTCCAAAAAAATCCTTCAAGTAAATGTTATTCCTTTTCTTTGCCACGAAATTGATTAAGTATGTACTTGTCGTTAATGAAGCTTGAGAAATTCTAGTGAACTTAAAGTATTGCTCTTGAATTCAACCATTGGACAAAATTCAATTGTGTAAAGGGTTCCTTGAACCCCGAGAGGTCATTCATTAATCAACCCCAGTACGGACAGGACTAATTACCAACCGTAATTGTCGCCCCCCATTTCATACGCATTCCCTTCGCTATCGACCCAAGAGACTGCTGCTACAAAATCGGCAACAAACGAAGGAATTGAACATTTTAAAATCGCGGAGTTTCCACGGATGATGTACTCGTTGTTCACCTCGGCTTGATAGAACTGCTGGACAACTGGAAATGTCAACGGAGAGCACCTACTTAATGAAACAGTTTTGTCTTATTCAAACACTTATTAATTATAATCAAAATTGTAGCCAGATCTAAGACCTAAAATGCAATTTGTGTAATAATAAGTAGCATATGTATAATATCTTGTTATGGGGGTTTTAAGAACACGTCGTCTTTCGTTGTGTTACACGAATTAGTATCAAATTACTGTCGTCTTTATTTCTAATCGAATTAGTGTAGATTAATGTTTAGAAGCTAATTCGATAATTTAATTTGTGCGATAAGATATCTGCGATTTAAATGCAGCGTTCGTTGCACCTTGATGCAAAGTTATAACTCTTTTTCAAAAGCAAAAATTTACCGTTGATGCCGCTCTCGCTGTTGGCTTTGTGACCATTGTAAAATGTAATTCAAATGTAGTAGTATATAAAATAGAATGCATAAGTGCAATTAGAACCAGGGTTGTGAATTCCAAGATAAACTGATGAATGAAACACTGATGTAGTTTTGTAATTAGCATTAAGTATTCAGTTTCCCAAAAAAATAAATATGTAAATCTAACGATTTTCTGATTATTTCGCTATGAATCACATTGAGAGTATGAATCACGTAATTATTTAAGATCATTACATTACTGCAACGTTTTACATCCTTCAAATCTTTTAAGCAGTAAAAATGATGTTTCAATAAATCTTGTTACTAATTGAAAACTTATCGTGTGTTTGGTTGTTATTAAATTGTTTTATTGACCATAAATTTCCACTTATGTTAAATGACAGCGTACCTAACACATGAACTTTCCCGAGCTTGTTCCATATAAGTCACAAAAGACTAAAAACTGTTTCATTTTAAATATATGAAATCGTATGACATTGTTATTTACTTAATAGCGGATTTATATGCAATATTGATTTGAAATAATTTTTTCGATTTTTTATTTACCCACTAAAAACTACCTCAAATTAATGAGGGAAAAATTGCTGCTGTTGTCACACCCCCGCCGGGAATCGAACCCGGGACCTTTGGCTTTGGAACATTGGTGCGTAAAGTCAAAGGTCCCGGGTTCGATTCCCGGCGGGGGTGTGACAATTTTTCCTTCATTAATTTGAGGTAGTTTGTAGTGGGTAAATAAAAAAATTGAAAAAATGATATCAAATTAATATTACCGTTTCATTTTGTTACAATACAACAACCTCGCATGGGTAACCACCAAAGAAGTTTTGTTTAGTTACCATCGTAAGAATTGTTTCCAGGGTAAAAGTTCTCGTTCTGGTCTGTATGCCAAGAGATAACGGAAACAAAATCGGCTACAAAGGACGGTATCTGACATTTCAGTATAGCAGCATTTCCTCTGATCGCATATTCCTTGTTCACGTCGACATCGTAATATTGGGCTACGACTGCAAAAAGTCGTGGTACTTGCTACTAATTCATTTAAATCAGAAACCTATCAAGGAAAAGCGACTTTTTTGCGCGATCTCGAGGTTACTGTTAACGTTTTCGTTTGTATCATACCCACATATAAATAAATGTCTATCATTTTACAGTATGTCACACAAGAATATTTGTATCACACATTAAGAGTGCATATACATACACTAAAAAAACAAAAAAAAATTCAAACAGGATACGTACATTCTTTCAAGTGTTTTCGTAATCTTTTAAGACCTGATTAAATTATCTTCAAAATCGTCTGCCTTTTTAGTATTCACAATCATTAGGTGTAAATTTTCAATTAGATTTTGTTTATTTAAAAATATTAAATAATAAAAATACAAATTTTTGTTTTACAAAAATAGAAAATGAAAAAGAGTCAAATAAAGGCACAAAAATTAAGTTAAAGAATACAGTAGATAAACGATGTCCAATGACGAAAAAAGGCAACATAATCTCCCAGACAAAAAGGGGCATTATTCCAGGCCAAAAGGGACATTTAATGTATACTAGGAATGTGTTTTAACATCACCCGCGTGGAAACTGGAAACCATGTTAACAATGGTAAAATATTATTCTAAAAAAGGATGTGAATGCGATTTCTTACCTGGGAGATAATGTTGTATTTTATCGTCCTTGAAATCAGGGAAAAATTTCGTACTTTCGGTAGGGATATAATAAAAATTTTTTTTTAAAAAAGTTTGGCAGAAACGCATGAAACTCTTTTGAAACAAACTGTATATATTTGTTTAAATTAATTATGCTGATTAATGAATAAATTATCTAGTTATGTAGCTTCAAGTCACACAAACACAATGGCGAAAAGGAGTATGTAAAAGGATCAATGTAACACTGCCATAGGTATATCTATTGTATAAGAAACAATTTAGAATCCGACCCACTTCAATTTGCAAACCTATGCTAAGTATTGGAATGATCACAGTAGCGACTACTCTGAAATCCTTAGATATTACCTTACCAATTTACCATCCTTATAAATGCACATGTCAACGAGAATGAGAAAATGAAAGAAATGCCGACAATTATCGGCTAAATTACGAGAATTGAATTTCAAGGTAACGATTAGGTAGAAATGTCGATTTAAGAATCTTAAAAAAATCTGTTGATGCATGTGCATGAATTATATTTTTACATATTTATTTAAACAATGTATTTGATTGCGTATTTAAATAATATAATCCTACAGTGTTGCCCCTAACGGGTGGGTATGAACTCGCCCCATTCAACGAACAGTGGCGACCGCCGAGACCAAAGTCGCCATTTGTGTTTCCCGTTCGATAAATTGAGATAATATAGAAAAAATTTACCCTCAGTGCCCATTTCCGATGAACTCTAACAATTTTTTGCCCGAATAAACCACAACTAACTTCATACTGTCGAATTTTCGTTACCAGTGCGCGCGCAACATCCGTTGCATACTAAAAATTTTACTCACAGTGCTCCAAAAGAAATTTAACTTAGAAAAACGTTTTTGCTAAAACGAGCCATTCCAAAAAAATCCTTCAAGTAAATGTTATTCCTTTTCTTTGCCACGAAATTGATTAAGTATGTACTTGTCGTTAATGAAGCTTGAGAAATTCTAGTGAACTTAAAGTATTGCTCTTGAATTCAACCATTGGACAAAATTCAATTGTGTAAAGATTTGTTTTATTAATAAAATACCGTAGCATCTGGATAGGTGATCAATTTATTGGAGAATCATCCGTGGAAAAAAGAAAAACAAAATTGGTGTTTCTGTTCAAAGGTTGAATAAGAACTACAATTGTTTTTGTAAATACCCAATAATGATGAGCTTGATCTCACTTCAGATCAGTAACATAAAAACAAACACTAAATAAAAAAGCAAAAACAAATTCCCAACTTAAAAAAATCAAATACTTATACATACGCGTTAGAAGTTATATTTTTACATATTTATTTAAACAATGTTTTTGATTGCGTATTTAAATAATATAATCCTACAGTGCTGCCCCTAATGGGTGGGTACGAACTCGCCCCATTCAACGAACAGTGGCGACCACCGAGACCAAAGTCGCCAGTTGTGTTTCCCGTTCGATAAATTGAGATAATATAGAAAAAAATTTACCCTCAGTGCCCGAATAAACCACAACTAACTTCATACTGTCGAATTTTCGTTACCAGTGCGCGCGCAACATCCGTTGCATACTAAAAATTTTACTCACAGTGCTCCAAAAGAAATTTAACTTAGAAAAACGTTTTTGCTAAAACGAGCCATTCCAAAAAAATCCTTCAAGTAAATGTTATTCCTTTTCTTTGCCACGAAATTGATTAAGTATGTACTTGTCGTTAATGAAGCTTGAGAAATTCTAGTGAACTTAAAGTATTGCTCTTGAATTCAACCATTGGACAAAATTCAATTGTGTAAAGGGTTCCTTGAACCCCGAGAGGTCATTCATTAATCAACCCCAGTACGGACAGGACTAATTACCAACCGTAATTGTCGCCCCCCATTTCATACGCATTCCCTTCGCTATCGACCCAAGAGACTGCTGCTACAAAATCGGCAACAAACGAAGGAATTGAACATTTTAAAATCGCGGAGTTTCCACGGATGATGTACTCGTTGTTCACCTCGGCTTGATAGAACTGCTGGACAACTGGAAATGTCAACGGAGAGCACCTACTTAATGAAACAGTTTTGTCTTATTCAAACACTTATTAATTATAATCAAAATTGTAGCCAGATCTAAGACCTAAAATGCAATTTGTGTAATAATAAGAACCACAGGTATAATATCTTGTTATGGGGGTTTTAAGAACACGTCGTCTTTCGTTGTGTTACACGAATTAGTATCAAATTACTGTCGTTTTTATTTCTAATCGAATTAGTGTAGATTAATGTTTAGAAGCTAATTCGATAATTTAATTTGTGCGATAAGATATCTGCGATTTAAATGCAGCGTTCGTTGCACCTTGATGCAAAGTTATAACTCTTTTTCAAAAGCAAAAATTTACCCGCGATTCCGCTCTCGCTGTTGGCTTTGTGACCATTGTAAAATGTAATTCAAATGTAGTAGTATATAAAATAGAATGCATAAGTGCAATTAGAACCAGGGTTGTGAATTCCAAGATAAACTGATGAATGAAACACTGATGTAGTTTTGTAATTAGCATTAAGTATTCAGTTTCCCAAAAAAATAAATATGTAAATCTCAGGATTTTCTGATTATTTCTCTGTGAGTCACATTGAGAGTATGAATCACGTAATTATTTAAGATCATTACTTTATTCCAACGTTTTACATCCTTCAAATCTTTTAAGCAGTAAAAATGATGTGTTTCAATAAATCTTGTTACTACTTGAAAAATTATTGTGTGTTTGGTTGTTATTAAATTGTTTTATTGGTCGTAAATTTCCACTTATGTTAAATGACAGCGTACCTAACACATGAACTTTCCCGAGCTTGTTCCATATAAGTCACAAAAGACTAAAAACTGTTTCATTTTAAATATATGAAATCGTATGACATTGTTATTTACTTAATAGCGGATTTATATGCAATATTGATTTGAAATTATTTTTTCGATTTTTTATTTACTCACTACAAACTACCTCAAATTAATGAGGGAAAAATTGTGGCTGTTGTCACACCCCCGCCGGGAATCGAACCCGGGACCTTTGGCTTTACGCACCAATGTTCTGACCACTAAACTACAAGAGGTGACAACAGCAACCACGACCAACCGACCTACAAGGTTAACGATCCGTCGATTTTTATTAACTTTATTTATATATATTAAATATATGAAATCCTATGACATTGTAAGTTACTTAACAGTGGATTAGATTAATGTGCAACATTAATTTGAGATTATTTTTTCGATTTTTTATTTACTCACTACAAACTACCTCAAATTAATGAGGGAAAAATTGTGGCTGTTGTCACACCCCCGCCG